TTTTTTTTTTTTTTTTTTTTTTTTTAGCGCGCGCCTAATCCAATCGCGGACAGTCAAAGATTAGTCGACGGAGTAAGCGAGATCTTGCATTTTATGGCTCACGCTTGTCACGCCTTGAGTGACATTATCGTTGACATGAATCAACGGCCGCCTAGAAACTTACGCTGTCGACCAATACTGGTGCAGCACTTTGGTTCAGCCTTTTTGCAACCTAGTATACCTATTCAAGTAGAGGTAAGCATATCGCTTGAAAATCGTCATTTTTTAAATGGTTCGATATTACGATAATTTGATTCAGTATTAAGTGACGATACATTTGTTTTTTTTTGTAGGCTCATATAAGTTTGAACGGTCGCACTGCTAATAGTAACAATAACGACGAGACGAATGAATCCGGCAATCAGCAAACGCCACAGTCGGACAACGCGGAACCGGCAACAACGCCACCGCCTACCAACACCGACGATGGCAATCAAGAACGGGAATCCGATAACACGGCACAATCGCAGACTGAACGACCTCAAGCAGCGCAATCGCCTTTCAGTGCGTTTCATATATTGCAGTACGATCTTGCAAAATGTTAGATAAATGTGTCAGAACATGTGATATATTGTTTTTAGGTACAGTATTCAATTTGCCGAATAACGTCGAAGTGCTGATGGAAGTTAGCTCAGAGAATAACATCGATGGCGGGTCAGGCAATGAACAGACCGCACCGAGTAACGATAACAACAATGGTAATTACACATATAAGTAAAACGGGATACATACATACGTTTGCGTATTTATATTTTTAAGAAATAACGTTTAAATTTTTAATATTTTCTGATTTGCAGGTAGGATGAATTCATTTCCACCGGGATATTTACTGCGAAATTTCATACACACCATGGCTGCCGCGCATATGGCGCACAGCGGTATGAACATAAGCACGAGAAATCCGCCTGCTACCACCACTGCGGGAACTCAAAATATTCTCTCCTCGATGGATAGTGGAAGCACGAATACTAGTCAGAGTACTCAAGCACGGTATAACATTCGCCGTAATCGTATTTTTCTGTAAATATTTTTTTTCTTTTTTTTCTTTTTATATTCTCACATGATATTCTTTTTCTTTCTACGATGTGTTTGTAACGTGATTTTGTGATTTTGTCAGAGGTAACACCGGTACTCATCCTACCACCGCCACGCAAACTCGAAGTACGTCGCGACCGCACGTGTTCCATCACCATGCTCATCCGGTTGGTCCTGGCATGAGCATCGGATTGGGTCTCGAGTTCGATCCTTATCTTCCGTGTAATTCGCATCATGTTTATCGCACTCCGGCGAGCGCCACGTCCAGCGCCACAACGGCAACAGCTTCTTCACAAACAACTCAAACATCTATGTCGGACGCTCAGAATCAAACAAGTCAAACCGGTAGATAAAAAAAAAACAAAGAATAAAAATATTTCTCTTTTATGTATAAGAAAACGGTATTCTTTTACAAAAGTGTAAAAAACTTATTTTTTAGCAACCACTTCAACCACAACCACCAGTGCCACACCCACAAATACAACATCGACAAACACAGAGACGACTAGTAGTAATCCTTCCGTAAATTTGTCGCAACCGAGTCAATCGGCAGGCGCTCAATCGCAGACTGACATTAACATAGACGGCATCGATGAGGACGATATCGGTAATTTATATCTCGATAGTTACAAGCGAGTTTATCTGATAGTGTTTCGAATATATATTAATTTCTATATTGATTACGTTGCAGCTCCAAACCTGGTAGAAGATATTAGAAACATGATGTTAGCTCTGAGTGATCAGATGCGAGGAGGAATGCTAAGTGAAAGGTATTGTCTAATAGAGGAATTAAAATAGAGGGGCGTAATTATATTTGTCACGAATGCGCACGATGCTAATTGTATAACAATTCTTTTGGCGATCAGTTCTATGGGAATGAGCCTTACTCTGGCCGGTTTGTTTGAGAACGCTGGACTGTCTATGGATCTTTTCGCGTCGCCCGAATCCGGCGAAAGGGACACTTTCCTCGTCGATCTCTTTATAACTTTGGTAATTGAATCGCTCATTTATCTACTTACGTCAACTTTATGCAAAATTTGATTATTAAAAAAAAACTTCGTGTACGCAGGCGCGAAATATGTCTGTGGACGGATTAATCAGACTGCGAAATGGTCTGTGGGGACCTCTTTCTCGTCTTCGGTGGCCGCTGCAAGTCTTCCTGCAGGATACATTCCCGAACGCTCCGTCCTCGACCGTTCTTCAAGAGCAAGTGATCGACCGTCTATTGTCTCAACTGCGTCCTCACATCCGGAATCTTCTTACGTCCGAAGAAATCAGCAGCAGGAATGACTCCAACGTTGATCTTTGCGCAACCATTGAATCGCTAATCGTTCGTCACACGAGAAGCATACTTAAAATTCTATTTGATAATGGTTGGTATTTTGATTTCAATCAACTTTAAAATCACATTAAATGTATCACGCGTTGAATTTACAGAAATCGATAATGCGACATTTGGACGGGAGATGTTGAAGATTGTGACTAATTTATGCAAACAAGTCTGCATCGTGCTGCGACATACTTTGCGCGGCGGTGAAGCTGGAATGGAAGCGATCGTAACGCGTTTAGTGGTTAGTCTTAATTCCTCGAAGTCAAAAATGCGTGAATACTTTCGATACGCTTTGATATAATATTTTTTGATATTTCTTATCCCGTTTTAGGATTTGATGGACGGTGGCAATTCCACTCTCCGTCAGTGGGTGCTGGAAATATTTATCAACTTGCTCCGTACTTATTTGTCGTCCTTGTCGCAACCTCCGGATGCGGAAATCACACCAATTTTGATTTACAAGGACGCATCATCATCTCAGCAATCGACAACAGTATCTTCAGCTTCGACCCGTCAACCTGCACAAGCATCGCAACCCGAAGACGAGGTATCTATTCTATTCGCATCTTTTTTCTTATACCGTTATATAATGCAACAATTATAATAATTCAAATCTTGGTGAATATATAGCCAATGGAAACCGAATCTCTGGAACAACAGCCAACACGCGAAAGACTAGTACTTGAAGATCGAGAAGAAATATTAGGAACATTTCCCGGACACGAAACTTTACCATCGGTACGGTGACAAAGAACAGAAAAAAATTCATATATTTCAGTTACTTTTTGATAAAAAATCAATTCTTAAGTTGATCTCAATCATTTTTGTGTTGCAAACCTCCGCGCTTTTTTTTTTCAGGATTGGGTGCCGATTATCGCGCGCGACGGCGTGAGGCAACGTCGACAGTTGGAGACGCAGGTACTAATGCCCAAAGCCGCATGTATGACGACATGTAGCGACGCGTACCTGGGCGGTTTGCCGAGCAAACGTCGCAAGTTGGTCGAGCAGCAGAAGCCGCGGCTTCTAGTCAGCCCCACGCCGAATCACACCTCGACGATCGCGGCGTCTGTGGAGCGACTGATCAGAGAGGGAGTCGGTCGCGCCGGCGTCGATGAAGTCGAGGGCGCCGCCGTGGCCGTTGCGGCGGATCCCGCTGTGCAACGCGCCTTCGGTCAGGCGATCAGGGACTGCTTGTTTCCGTATCGATATGGCACACCGGACTTTCCGGACCCGTCGCGCTTTCCCAACGCGACCAAGTACTTTGCAAATCAAGACCGCCCGCCGAAATAATAATTTATACGGGAAGGTATATCACATTTCGATACGCATAATTGAATTTTACAGTACATTAGGCTAATTCGAATATAGCTGCAAGTATAGTATACATTGTGTAATCTCGAGAGAGAGAGAGAAAGAGAAAGAGAATTGACGCAAGAAACACCAGTTTCGTAAATTATACATCTTATAATTTCATAAAGAGAAAGATATTGATACCTTCAGAATATAAGAATATTTTTTTGACAAATCTAACGGCTGATCGAGATGGGGGGGTGCTGAGATGCGCCTACATGTACGGTAGCTCCTCTTAAACTCGGAAGATCGAAGCGCGCCCAGGTTTGATAAGTAAATCGGAGTACTTGCGCCTAAAACCACAACTATAATTTGTTGCTCTAGAAGAAAAAAGGATTGTTAACCTGTAAAGTGAGTTTACCTTTTTGTTTTATAATGATAAAGACACAAATTAGGAGAGTGAAGATTCTTTTGAGTAAGAGGAGCTACTGTATTATTATTATCTATGTATGTATTCATATCAATATCCGCTTTGATAGTGTCACTGTTAGTGTTCAGGTTAAGTTTATGATTGATACGATAAGCAACTCTTGAAATATGTCTCCGAATTCGAATTTTCTATTATGTACTTCGCGAAGGAAAAAATCAACTATGAATTAAAAAAAAACACGAGCAACCTGTGTATATACATAGTTGTAAAAATTGTTAGGTATACATCCATCTATTTATAGTTTCTGCACCTCTTAGTTTTCTCAATTGTCTTTCTCACTTGCAAGATTCTCTCTTTTTTCTTATTATATTCGTCTTTCTCTCGTTAGATTTTTTTTTTCCATTTTTCCTCGCTCGCTCTTGCGAAAGTCTGTAAACAATAATTGACATTTTTGCGGAAAAAAAAAACATCTCGCAAATGCGCTTGCCAGTTCGTTCTGCGAGATTATCGAAGCAAACAAATGTCAATCATTTGGTTCACGCGACTGCACGCCAGAAATTTAGAGCGAGTGTGTAAGTAATTATAATCCTGAACCATTTTTTTAGTTTTCTTAAAAGCGTAGGTCTGACGCATTTTACTTGACTTTAAAAATATTTACAAAACTTTGAAAAACTTTTCTGGCATTTTTTTTCTACCAATGTGTCCTATTTTTTTTTTTTAACGGAAAAAAACAGTTTTACATAATTTATTTTTAATGACTTTTTAAGGAAGTTTCGAAAGATGCCGAACAAAGCAGATCATCAGAGGTTCAGAATTAGTGTTAGAAAAATAGACAGAATTTGTTATGTTTTTTTCTTTTTATAATTACACGTATCTGATAATGTAAAATCTTCGTTGAAAGCGGACGCGCGTATGTCACAACAGACAAATACACAAATTTATATGACGCACGCGGTCAAACTCTATCTCACAAACAAATTCTTACGTATCGGATGTTTTGTGTAGATAAGCAATTGTTCGACATCCGATGGCTTGGGAGAAGCTTTTTTTTTTCGAAGCGACGCATATTCCACGAGTAAAATACGATGAAGAGTAGCAAAAGTACACATCTATCTGTACGATATGCGTGACCATAATAACACTGTATATGTGGAGTAAGTTAATCGTTGTAATAACCAATTATACGAAGAAACAAAGAAAATAATAAAGTTGTGTATCCCTTTTTCCTCTGTGTATTCCTTTATGTTGCAACAATTCTTCTCCCTCGATTCCTCGTAATCGAATTGTTGATGATCATCGATTCGAACGCGTTTAAAGTTAACACGAAATACTCTTCCAAACGAGGCTAAAAGTAGCGTGTTGTAATATAAACACGCGGCGAGCAAATGGAACGGATAATAACGCATCGGACGTAAGTAGGACGCACAATTATACGATACGTTAGACATCAAGTTCATTTGTATTTTATTGTTTCGATTTATGTTTTATTCATGACGTTTTAATTTTTTTATTTTTATCTTTCTATTTATTATTAATCTCCGATCGCGTTCGTATTATCGCTATGCGCCATGTGCCACCCGTGGCGTGTAACAACTGTAATTTGAAAGAGCGTCCCGACTACACACACCCCCCACAACGGAGAAATCGGACCGTTTCACGCCCGATTCAACTCTTCTCCTTCTCGATATCGTCGATTAAATTTTCATACTCGCGCAAGCTGCAATGAAGTAGAAAGGGAATAAATCGCAATTTTTAGCTCTCGTTCGCATCAGCGAGTTATTTCAAATTTTAAAAACGAGAGAAAGAGAGATCACTCGAGTTTGTTTTTTATTTTTTTTTTTTTTCAATAAATTTGATATCTTGAACATCTCCGACTGTGACAGAAATAAATTTATTTCGCTCGTCCCTCGTGATAATTTTGTATTTGCACATGCATAAATCCCCGTACATATATGTCGGAAAAGTAGACGTACGTATTATAAAAACATAAGTAGATGTATGTATACATATGTATTAAAAAATTTTCCCGTGTGACACGATCGATGTATTTGCGACAAGTGTAGCGATGAAAACAATGACGGATGATTTGATTTTCGCGTTATCGCGCGCGCGCGATCGCTCTAGCACCGAGAATCTTAACTCGATGAGAGATGAGACCTCTGAACGGTTTCATCAATCGTGCACGTGGTGTAGAGTATAAAAAAGATGAACGCGCTGGCAGTCTCTTTGATCGCGCTCGGCGATTGAGGCGATACCGGCGATTCGACATTCAGGTGATCAGTTAAAGACGGATTTTTCGCAGTCGAGACCGGCTTGGGCTCCTTCTTCGCCAGTCCTCGCTCTATAGAATTACGAATACAAATGCGCGATGTAATATCTCTCTCTTCGCGCAAGCCGGAAGAGGAGATGAACCGAGAAGAGACACGCTTAACTCGATGTTTCTGCTGATGTCGTCCGCTACCGGGCAGAGAGCGCAAAACGGCGTTGAACTATTTCGAAGAGAGAGAGAGAGAGATATCCGGAAAGGAAAAGGCGTCGGTATTAATTGGCCGCGGACGAGGAACATGGACGATAGTCGGCGGGCGGCGGCTTCGGAGGTGCTTTTTCATACTGTTTTTTCATACTGTTTTTTTCATACTGGTTTTTTCATACTTTTTTTGCTTCACGGCGAGAAAGACGACGATGTTCCCCGTCGCGGCTCCCTTTCCGCGCTTCGAACACAAGAGACCAACGGGAATACAGCTTCTCCTTCTCGTTGTCTTTCTCTCTCTCTCTCTCGCTTTTTCTCTATATATCTCTAGGTATATATTCTCGACCGCGTATACCGCGTACACCACGTCCGCGCATACGTATACGTGTATACACGCACGTACACGCCGCGGCTGTCGCGGGGAAGTGCGCGTAGAAAGGCATAATAAAGGCAGAGCATAGAAGAGAGAGTAGTGTACGGAGGTCCGCGCGGACTCGACGGCCGGCTGTCGTTCGATCCAAACACGGACGCGCGCGATTGGCCGGCCGGTCGCCGTTCTTCCGGTCGGATTGGTCTTTTTCACCGCGCGAAGACGCCTCTTTATTCGGCGCAGGGCGTCGCCGTGGATTTTTATACACGCAGGTTGGCCGCGCCGGGCCGCGCGCGATTCTTATAGGCGAGCACGTTTCACCCGCGAGACCGAGTCCGCGCGGATCGACGTCGCCAGGGCCGTCGCCACCGCTGGCTGCCGCCGGTCGTTCTGCTACGAGGCCGAGGGTTAAGACGCCTTGGCAATCAAGTAGAACCTCGGGCAAGCAGGGACGGTTACGGCGCGTTGGTACACGAAGGAGGAGAGAAAGAGAGAGAGATGAAAGCGTACACACGAAGGCGGCCATATTTAGAGAAGGAAATCAGCGAAGAGCATTTCGCGCCGCGTACCACCAAGCTACTCCTCCTCCTCCTCCTCCTCCTTCTCTTCCGCTGCCACCCTTCATTCCTCCACGACGACGACGACGACGACGACGACGACCACCTTATCGTCTCACTCTCGTTCTCCCCGGCTTCGGTTCGATCTCTCTACACCGGGGGCTCTTTCCGCAGCCCGTCGCTCAGATGAATTTGACGGATGAAAAGTAACCGGCTGCCCTCTGTCTCACTCTTTCCTTCTCTCACTCACTCACTCTCCGGAACGCGCGCGTTTTCTCCAACGCCTTTTCCACCCGTGCGATACCTACTTCGCCGCGGTGAATATTAACGGGAAAGGGGGCGCGAATAAGTCACGTATTTTTTTTTTTTTTTTTTTTTTTTTTGCGTGTAGCGGCGCTAATAACGAGTCATCTCCGCACCCTTCTCTTCCTCCTCCACCAGCCTGCTCCTTCGCGCGACACGAGAAAATGCTTACGGACGTTTCTTCGGCGCGCGAACATACACACGCGAGCGTCAATGGCGTACACGCGCGTAATCACGCGCGTCGAGCCGTGCGAGGAGGATGGCTCGGAGCTTTCCGAGGGCTTTTTTTTGCGCAGCCAGAGGCGCGTTGTTGCTGCCCGTCATCGTCGTCGTCGTCGTCGTCGTCGTAGTCGGCAGCGGCGAAAATCGCGCGAGAAGAAGAGCTTTTTCGACGTCGCGCCTACGTGGCGTGTAATGCGATTTCTCCTTCGTGCTTCCCTCTCATTTCTCACATGCGCGCGAGCACGTCACTTTTTTTTTTCTTTTTTTTTTTTTTATACAACACTCCGCACGGATCAGTGGATATTTTATTATTTGTCTTATTCCATCGCGGTCTTCGACCTCGCGCGATTTTTTGCTGGAAAAAATATCCCGCGACTCAATATTGACGAAGAATTTATACAGTTCAGAGAAAACGAGATACGCTGTGTGTATAAAAATATCGTTAAAAAAGCAGTTCCGGTGAAATGAAAAAAAGATCGTCGGAAGAACTCAATATCTAAAAGCTTCATATTCAAAAAGAAGGAACAAATTTTTTGGCAACGAGAGCGTCTGTCCGCATCAGACACCGGAAACATTAACGTAAGAATGTCTGTCGTATTGCTTTTCGCGATATGTGCGTAATCCGTGCGTATCGCAATGTAGCGCACCGATTCACGGCCGAGCCAATTGGCAGTCGTTACAATCGCGCCCGGCAAGAATAATGCCAATTAACACCCCCATTTGTTTTTTTCAGCGATCCGACTGCTCGGTTGCGCAAACACGGTATATATCCAGTTTGCATTTTGTCCGGCGCGAGCGACAAAGTTTTTCAGCTCGAAATATTTTCCAGTGCGATTCCCGTCGTGCGTTAGTCAACCGGACAAGCGCATCATCGCCAAATTTGCGCGTATAAGCTAAACACAAAGCTGCACTTTGCGGTCTCTCGTCTGTATATGTAACGTCGCTTTCGAGCAAACACGGTTTAAATAAAACTGTTTAAATCGTTTTATTTTTTTTTTTTTTTATGTTACACAGCGGAATGTATTATTTAATCTTGTCTCTCACTTGGACTGGTGCGTTCTCGAAGATGTGCGTTCAATTAACCAGTGCTTTTAGGAAAAAAAAAAACAAAAAACAAAACAAACAATCGGTTCTTTAGATTTATCGCAGAATTTTTTTCGTTTTATCATCGCGAATGATAATTGCAAACGTCAAGTTTGCGTTGATCTTCGCGAAATGTAAAGGAACCTGATATCGATAACCATGTGTGTGTGTGTGTGTGAGAGAGAGAGAGACAGACTCTCGATAAGAGACGAAAAGAATTCGCGATATAATACTTGAAATATTGTATTTTATATCGGACGCGTACACACGCGCGCGCGTGCGCGCGCATTACACAATGTACACACACTCGACGATGTGTGTGTGTGTAGCGACGATAAAGAACGATGTAAACTTGTGCGCGCGCGGGTATGAATCTGGACCCGATCCCGAGAATGAAATACGAGCATTATCAACCACTTAGTTGGTCCGCGCGTTATCTTCTTAAATTCTTCGTATTATTTCTATGACTCGCAGTTGCGAGTCCGTCTGAGTGGAACATTGATAAGATGGGGAAATAGCGTCGTTATTTCCCATCAGGCGTTCCAGTTTTTGCGTCTTAGTCACACGGCACTTCAGTGAAATATGTCCCTGTTTTTCGAAAGTAAACATGCGAGATTAAGAGTAGATTTCACGAGAGATTTGGAGCTAAAAAGTCATCGAGAGACGCTTCGGTATATAAATACGATTACATTTTTGAGCTTCATGTGCAGGTAAACGTTTTTGAAATTTTCTCAAAATTCCAACACTCTCGTCAAGTGTCTCTCCCGTCGATAAGCAAAAACGACAACGATACGGTTCCTCACGCTCAACTAACTTACTTCGCTTTTACAAGGCGTGTGATTTTTTTGCCAGCTGTGCGACAAGTTTTTTTTTTTTTTCAAAAAAGTCAAACGCATCGCCTTTCACTTTTTTTCTCTTTCTTGAGATTTGTTTATTATTTCTAAAGATGTTTGCACAAAAAGTCGCACACCTTCGATATTTCATTGACAATTATAACTTCGGAGAAAGCTTTTGACTTGTCATCACACTCGCAGCGTGTGGTGCATTAAGAAAGATAGATTTATTTCCCAGTCAAAACACGGTTTGTTTCCCAGTCCTCTCCCAGTTTTTGGTCTAAAAAAAGCGTTGCTTTTGAAAAACACTTTTGTGCTTTGTAACTTGACAATTTCGTCACACAGTTGTGTTTTGTGTGTTCTTGCCTTTGAAAAAACCGCCTCGACAACAGAAAAATCCTCAGCAGTTACGAATCGTATTTCGCCGAGCGTTGTGACTTCGGATACCTGCGGGCCCCTTGACAGAAAGCACGTGGAGAGTGCGGCACCATTAGGACACCTAGCGTCCAGAAGGTGGCGGGACAAACGTTCTACAGATTGGCAGCGACGGTGGCGTGGCGGTAGCGGCGGTTCATCAGTTGTTACACACGCGTTGTTGAGCGTGGTTCGTTTCGTGCGACTATTTCGCAATCGAATCGCATATTTCTTAAACACACGCACGCATACACACGCGTGCTCGTGTCGTTGTTCACGTTCACGAACCACGCCGTCGTGTCCATGCCCGACCTTCTGCGAGTTATTCCTCCACGTGTTGTTGTGCCGCGATTTGTTCGCAGTGCGATTTTCCGTCGTGTGAACACGTGTGTGTGACGAGTGTTTTTAATATACAGGGTGTATATTTGCACACGTACACATACATAGATATATATATATATATATACATATATATATATTATACACATACGAAGCGTCATTTAATCCTTGGTGGCAGTAAGATGAGTGGCGGTGAAAATTTTCCCGAGGTACGGTAGTGACGTAAGAACTTTTGGATAACATGTATCCTAGTGCCGGTATCAACGCGGCGACGGCGGCGGCAGTGGCTGCGGCAGCTGTAGCTCGTCATCCGGTACATATGTTGTTTCACACATCCTCTCTTTCCATTTAGCAACAATCTTGTCGAATTGTCCGACTTGTGTGTGTGTGTGTGTGTGTGTTCTCTGTAAAAGAATACATCCACGCGTCTTCCTCTGTTGCGTACTTCGCGCGCGTCACCGCGATAATATTGCGCGCGAAAAAAAAATTTTGCTGGAGCAGTGAGAAAAATATTTAGTTACTATTCTAATGGCTAGCAAGAAAAATTTGCTAAGTCTACTGAATTTTTTGTTTCGCCAACCAAAAATGTTTTATATAACAGCAAAATGTTTTTTTTTTTTTTTTTTTTTTAATGTGTAACTTAACATTTGTGTAATCTCTTGAAAGTACATATGTATGTTAAATAATAACGTATATATGAAAGTACATATTGTATGTTGTAAATATGTGTAACGTGTCGATCGCACTCGAAATTTTTCAGCTTCTGAAATTCCTTCGTGGATAAAAAAAAAAAAAAAAAAAAACCGCGTATTTGGAAGCAAACACACTCTCGTAGCTTTTGAACGATAAAGAACAAACATTTCGTAAAATAAATATTCGAAGTAAAAAGCTCGGAAAAAGAGTAAGCTTCAGAAAACCAAATAGAATAGAAAAATAAATAAATGTCCTGCGGTTTATTTCTTTGCTTTATTAGTTTAATTGCAAATATTTACGCTGTTAAAACTCGGTGTGCATGAAGTGCGCCGGAGAAGTCAAATGTACAACAAAAATAGAGCGAGAAAATTTTGTAATGTGCAGACGCTGCAGTCTCTGTTTATCTCTTTCTCTCTCTTTCTCTCTCTTTCTACCTTTAGTCCTCGAAAACTCGAGAACCAGAATATTCCGACTTTTTCTTCTACCTGCTCGTTTTCTACCGTAGATACCCAGGCATCTCCCGATGTCTGCCGAAAAAAAGGTCGTTCTTGACCTGCTCACGTTGCCTATTGTGCCGGAAACAGAATGTTCTTCTAACGTTTCTCTCAAAGCCACGGTGGTCTATCTATGAAAGTTATCTGGCTCAATTGCATGACGAGAGAAAAAGGAGAGTACTTCTCTTTCGGTGCATTTTTTACGGTCGGACTTCTCATCGCACAAAGATTTTCATCATTTATCACCACGATGCCTTTGTTTGTGTATTTACTCATCCGCGCGACACATGCTTCTTGTATTGCCTTTCGTTCCTTTGTGCTTTGTACACGTTGTTTCGTACCGTGCATGTGGTTTTTATTGCATCCGCCTGTTTCGAAGCTCATTTGTTCTTTGGTTTTCCGTTCCGAGTTGTGATCCCTTCTCTCCTTCCTGAGAGTGAAATTAATCCGTCCGCGTCTTGATTAATTGCGAAGAAAATTACGGATTTTTGCGCGCGGCTTCCTCTCCTCCAACGTGTCTACGGAACTGCGCGTGCTATATTTTGAGTTAATCGACCGATACGTACACACCTATATATCTATATATATATATACACACACAATATATTTACCGCGTAGTTATTATCGGATATACCGTTCGTACTTACGAATTGTGCATTATTTTTTCACTCCCGCGCGCGCTGTCAACGTCATTCCCGCCGGGTAACGAGATAATTAAAAAGCATGACGGCAGTGGCAAACTAACGTTTTCGAGAACGGCGAGCGCTTAGACCAATAAATTCTTTTCCGGCTATTATTTATTTTTCTATCTCGATTCTACCTCTTCTTTGCCATGGTCCAATACGCCTCACATAACACCTTCGTCACGCACGCGCGCACATGTTGCTGATGCGCTAAATATCTGACTGCGCGCACACTCTTATGTGTGTATATGTATATATTATATGTATTTACATATATATATATATAGGTATATATATGCATATGTGTATATATATATATATATATATTACGCAGACGAAATTGACCCGCGTTTATACGCGGGGAAAAGATTTTGTAGGAGAGCACGCGCGCGAGAGTCGCACATACATGCATACATAGCCCGGGTGACGACGGAAAAATATTTGGCTGCCGAGCAAATTTTCATTCGACTGTAAACACCCGGGCGAGCCGAAGCGGAAAAGCTCGTATATGCGCGCGCGAACGACGAAAATAAATCTATATATCGTTCACGGCCGAGCGGAACCGCCCGCCCGTGTATCCGCAATTACGTTATATCTGTATAGCGGGTGGTATATCTATATCTCGCGCGCGCAACACACGGTGCGCGCGCGCGATTCCCGTGACAATTACTCGCTCTCTCCGTCGCCCCGCTCTCCGTCGATTCGAAAAAGTGGGCCGAAAAACCGAACGAAAAAAGTGAAAAAATACACGAGTGAAAAAAAAAAAATGTATTTTTACTCGAAAAATGAATTCGCTGTCGCGACTCCTGGCATCCCGAGAATTGCCTCTGGAGAAGATTTGTAAAACGGATAACATATCGAGACTCTGTACACGATGACACGCGCCACGCGAGCAAGAAATGTTTCTTGAAATTCCTAGTCGAAATTTCATTCGAAGCGACAACCGCTGTCTCTCCTTGTTTTAGTACGTTATCAGTGAGATATAAGTGAACTTTGCCTTCCGAAAAAATCCGGGGAATGCAATATCGATTCTCGGATTATTCGTTCACTTGACGTACACTAAATATGTTTGTTTAAAAAATGTTTTGTTTGATTCAAAAAATTTAATCTTGATTAATTAACTATTATATAAGTTTATTAAATCCATTTGGCGCAAAAAAACATTAATTTTCTATCTATTAATATTTTTCATACAAATGAAAAGATATAACGTTTCTTTTACTTTTATTCTTCGTACTTATTTATGCTCTTTTTTTTTATCGGTAAGATAATCTTATTAGCGTCTTGTCAACGACAATGCGACCGATTTGTTGTTGTAATTATTTCCCGGCGCTACGAGAAGGAAACAGATACGCGGACAAAGTTGAAATTGAGATGAAAGAGTGAGAAAGAGAGAAAACACGACTAGAAGAGAGAGAATATCTATTCGCGTAGCACACGAAATTTGCGGGATTCACTCGCGCGCGCGCGCTTCCGCAGAACCGCAATATGTATTGGTAATTACACAGCAATGAATTACACCGCGGAATGAGTGAAACGTGTTATGTGCAATTGGCGCGAGCATTATAAATCTCGTCACGTACAAACAGTTGGCCTGTGTGTACATCTCTGCTTCGCTTCCTCTCCTCCGTCATCAGCACTCGTTTGTATATAAGAGAGAATCTCAGACGTGTTGTGAGGAAGGAAAGGGAGAAACAATGAAAACTTTTACGCGCGACCGAAAATACGAGCTGCGTCGTCGTACTCTTTTACCAGGACACAATTAACGTGTATACATATACACATGTAGATATTCGCTACGCGCGTTATTTCAATCCACTGTTATAAACGCACGTAAATCATATAAACGTAAATCATTTTCGCGCACCGTAAAATATATTCATTGTGACGCGTTATGTGCGTAGACGCTCAATTAAATTTCAATTTCCGAGAAACATCGTTATGTGTAATTCATGCGAAGATTCAGTCAATTGTGTTTTACGCGTATCAATTCGCTAATTATCGGCGAATGTGACACCGTCCGTCCTCAACTCTATCCATTCAGCGACGCGAATCGTGAAAAGAGGAAAATAGTATTAATAAACAACATAAGATTTGACGCGTTTAAAGTAAATATGTGATATATATATATATATATATATATATATATATATATATATGAGACATTTAAACGCGATGCTGGAGTCTTCCGCTCGTCTCATCGTCGTCATTATCAACATTCCTGTCGACGCTCTTTCGATCCGCGGGAACGAATGCCGTCCCTGTCTTGCGATTCCTCGCCGTTGTCGTTGACGCTTTGATGCTTGACCGAGTTGACACAGGCGGTGGTTATTGGCACTCTGCAGGACTGTTTACGTACAAGCTGTACAAATATTATTTCCGGGCAAACCGGCCCGCCGATCATTACGAAACTCTGAGCGGAAAGTTTCAACGGATAACTCCTCCTCGTTCACTTCCACGCTCTCTCTTCTCTTTCTTACACACACATACAAATAATTCTTATCTATATGTCGAGTTTTCTTATAAAATCGACTATCTTAGGCTATTAAAACTTAATTAGAAGAGTATTTTTATTATCTCGATGTTATATACAATACATTGTATTTAAGCATTGAGCAAACTTTTCTGTCTCGAACGCACAAATAAACTTCTTACTAAATAAACGGCTAACAAATGACTAATAAATAGTGACTATCGTACAAAAGAACAAGATTGTGATTGAAACAAACTCTAGATAAGATAGCGATCACAAATAATCACGAACGTAAATAGAATCTTTCAAATTGAATCTCGAAAAATATGTATCCCCGTTTCTCTCGGAACCGATTTTTGTTTCTCGGAGCGACCGGAGCGTCATTTCCGCACTCCTGCGTTTGTCCGTTTGTCACGTGACGGAAAAAAAATCGCGATTATGTGTGTACGCGCACGTGACGCGCGCGACTTGACACGTGTGTGTATAAAGTTCGGCGCGCGGGCGACGCGCACGCGCGTTATATCCAGCGCGCGTGTACACTGTTCACAATAATGAGGAGTTTGCACAGACCGGGATCCCGACGTTCTTCAAACAGCAAGAGCAAGGACAAACAAGCCCTATATGGACGGATGGACAAACACGACGTATGCGTTTCTGCTTGCTCGCTCCGCTCGTCCTCCGCGTCCACGTCGTCGAATCGGCGCTATAACCTGACGTGAACGCGACGTCGAGTATCTCCACAAGTGAGAGGAACAGAGAGAGAGAGAGAGTGAGAAACCGAGAGAGAGAGAGCTAGCTGGGCCTCTTTATCCTTCTCTTCCCATCGCTGCGGAAACTATCGACCATCACCCTCGCTCAACAAGCACTATAAGCGATATGCTGGCTAACATTTGCCGGGCTAAGCACACAAATACGATACAGTACTGTTTGCCCGGCCGCCAGTGGTGCTCGATCGTCACCGCGATATCCTCAGTATTATCGGCGTCGCCGACACTGTCTTCGAGCGAACGGTTTAATTCCTTTCGAAATTGCGGAGAGAATCCGCGGAACGATCGAGTAAAGAAGCGATAAAAGCGCGCGCAGCGGTTCTTTGTTCAAGATAGCGGCGAGATTGCTCGAATTTCTTGTGCAACAAGAAAGAAAAGACGAAACAAAAAGAGATAAGGAGAGAGAGAGAGAGAAAGAGAGCGCTCCGGCGAGCGGCATGACGTGCGGCGCGCGGCATGTGCCATCCTGGCGCATCCTGGCGTGACGGCCGGGTCAGCTGGTCGGTGGTTTGCGAACTATCTCAATTTGCCTAAGCCGCAACCACGGCGGCCGCGAAAACCGCAACTTCCCTCGTCGTGGCCACCTTTGGCCGTCCCGTTCCTCTCTCCGCCCTGTCCGCAATTTCTCTCTTCCTCCTCGCTGCTGGTCTGCGACCTCCATCCGACACACTATCCGTTTCCTCTTCGCTCGTCCATCTACCTATACACAACTCCTTCTTCCCCTTTCCCCTCGTTTCTTCTCACGCTCGCCCGCCATTGTCTCTCGCGTTGTTTCCACCCTCGATTTCGAGAATGTAGCCACCGGCTGTACAACTTTCCGTCGCACCGACGAGAAACACAAAATTCGCGACCGGAAGCGTGTTGTGTGCACCTGAAACAGGTCGGAAACGAGACAAACAGGCAATTTTGTCCGGTAACTCTATAAACAGCGCCATTTAACGGTTAAAAAGCGTTCCGGTGCAACGCTTCTTCAACTCTTAAACTCTACACCATCAGGTCTCTCGCTACCTTCTTAACAGGAGGGTTTTCAAGTTGGCATAAGTATGTGCTAAACGCGTCACATCAACATTGGCTTCGCGCGCGTTTGTTTCAATTAACATTTGACTAGACTTTAGTCGCTCGGAATCCGTACAGACTCTCGAGTGGTTTCGTTCGTTGCACGTTTCTGACAATCTTCTTTCAAATGTGTCCACTAATGTATCCTGCTGTTTATTTAACAAGAAAAAAATTTGTACATAAATTTATGTTTACTAATTTTCGAAGAGTTTTTTTGAAAGATTTTGGTTCAGAGTTGCGATACGTGTCTCAGTTTGCGATTACTTAAAGATGAGAACGAGGAAGTGTTTATCTGTTAATAAAATCGCGCGTCCACCATTACGGCTTAAGAAGTTACCGGGCTTGGGTTGCCTGTGTATTCGGCAACTTAACCCCATAAGTCGCAAGTTAATTTTCGGTGTTGAAGGCGCTGGCTTAATACAGAATTAAGGCGTGAACGATGTATATTTATACTCAATACACGCACACAGAGAAAGAGAAAGAAAGAGAGAGAGAGAGAGAGAGAGAGAGAGAGAGAGAGAGAGAGAGAGAGAGAGAGAGNAGAGAGAGAGAGAGAGAGAGAGAGAGAGAGAGAGAGAGAGAGAGAGAGAGAGAGAGAAAGGAAAGATGCGCACACACGCGCGTTTTCATGCACGACACACCTATATGTACATTAAGCGCGAGGCTCATAGTTTCGGTTGTAGCGTGTAATCCTCACGGACACCGCAAACATGTAATTAACACTTGCTCTCTCGGCGCGCGAGGGGAGCTAGACACAGCAGCGCGCTCTCTCCGGGCCGAGGATCGCTATTGCCGACCGTACACCACACGAGCTTCGCTTCGTATATAATCGCTTATGCACGTGCACGCCACCATCCTCGCACGTGTGTACGTGTATAATGCGCGCACATCCAACTTGTTTCTCACTCTCTCTCTCTCTCTCTCCGTCACCCACACACTTCGCTCCCTCTACCCTCGTAAGTTTCAATCTACCACGGACCTCCTATCACTTTCGCCCGCACGGCGGCACCCCTGCCCTTTCGCGGTCGAACAGCTGTACGGAGTTAATTATTCGGGACGAGGAGTGGATCTATCTTTCTCTTTCTATATATATATATAGAGAGAGAGAGAGAGAGAGAGAGAGAGAAAGAGAGAGAGAGCGCGTAGATCGATCCCGTGTTTCTGGGACATCGATCGATACATTATACTCATCGTCGTACGTACGATATACTAACGACGTTTCTCTCCTGTTCTTTGCCCGTAGGTCCCGCAGGCCTTGCAACAGCCGGCCCAGTCGTTCAAGCTTTCGGTTGCCGACACCTGCGACAGGATCAAGGAGGAGATTAACTTCCTGCAGGCGCAGTATCACACGTAAGTATATACGTGTATGTATCGACGCGACCGGGTGCACGATCGCGATGATATTTTGCGCCTCCGGTTGTGGTTCGTCGTTTCGAAGAAAAATCCGCAGGCGCTTCTCGAATACGGCGCACTTCTCTCCTTACGTTTTCTTCTTCTTCCATCATTTTTCACTCCGACGCGGAAGCGCGCGTGAGGAGTGGCGCGAGTCGTATCGGAAGAAAGGAGAGATAGAGGAAAAAAAAACAGGTTTGGGAACAAGCGCAGCTGCACATCCGAGAAGAGTGTTACGCGCGCTTCCTCTGTACTGTATATAGTCTTCTGTATTACGGGATAACGTAATGGCAGGCGAGTACACGAACTCTCGAAGCTTCGAGTTTCACGGGAAGAGATGACGGGCCATGCATTTTTCAGCAGCGCGCGCGGGATCGAAACTTTTCTCGTTCGCCCGAACGTTCCTTTCGTTTTTGTTTCTTATTCTTTTTTTTTCTCTCTCTCTCTCTCTCTCTCTCTTTCATTCGCCACATACGTAACATATATCGTATTCGCAGTTTTCGCGGTTTGCGTTCTTATTACTGTCCTATATGTCTTGCTCTCTTTTTCTTCCCTCGATTTGCCGATCTATTCGCGAACGTGATTTCTCCGATACGAGATTATTTTATTTCGCGTATATAATGACGATTTCTTTTTTCTTTTCAGGATGAAGATCGAGTACGATAAACTGACTAACGATAGAATCGAGTTGCATCGTCAACTTATAATGGTAAGTGCAATCGCTACTGTGTGTCGTAAAGTTAGACGTTGCCGGTTAGACGTAACGTTTCTCTCGACTAACTTCTCGTTTTCGCTCTCTCTCTCTCTCTTTCTCTTTCTCTCTATGTATTCTCTCTCTCTCTCTCTCTCAATCTTCCGTCTTCCAGAATAATCATGCTCGCTCGACCGCTAAACCACCTCGGCTTCTTAGCATTAATTGCATCCTCCAAGCCGGGTTTGGGGGGAGCTTTACATTGGCTCGTTACGCCGCGTGTAAGCGCAGAGAGAGAGAGAGAGAGAGAGAGCCGGGTGTACTGCTGCCTAACACACAGGTGTACACGTACGTGTGTGCGTACCTACTGTGCATAGCTAATGACTCTAAGAGCCAGTGGCTCTCATCGAATTAGTCTGCAACGTCGCGGCGCGCAGCTGTCTCGCGTGTTTAATGACGGGGTAATGCACTGTTAGGATCCGCGGCGGCGGCGAAACAGCGGTTCACGGCTCGTTAATATTCGAGCGTCCGCTCGCTCCTCGGCTCTTCTCTCGGCTTTCTGCCTTCCCCGCGTCGGGTCCACCGCGCTTACACCGCGCGAGTTCTCTCACGGCGACAAACCGAAAAAAGAAAAAAAAAACGAACACGACCCCACGACCGGGGATATTTATAAGACTCTCTCGAGTCCCGCAAAGTAAAAGAAACACTCGTTCAGCGCGAGAGATGCTTCAGTTTTTTTTTTTTTTTTTTTTTTGCGATAAAATTTAGAAAGACGGAAAAATAGTGGGGAGAGAAGAAGATGTTAATATACGGCCCTCCTCAATATCTCCGCTTGTTGTTAGACGGTGAATTTTAAGATTTTTATTTTAACGACCTACTCGTGGAATATAAACGATTCAAATGTCGCTGCCACGCCAATAAATAATACATAGCTTGTGTTGTCATTTTTTAAATTTAAAACTTGCAAGCATTTTCTCAAGGTAAACTTTAACATTTAATTAATTATACATACTTCTTTATTATTAAACTTGAGCTTGTTATCGCACGTATACATAATAATACGTGTATACATTGGAGTGTTTTTACTCTTATTTTTTATTATATTCATCGTTACACGCAGTTAGAGTAACATAAATAAAGTTAAACATTAACATGTTGTGCTAATATAACTTTCTGTATATATTGACATGAATATACAAATGTTCAGCGCGTATGTTCCGGCAGAAAAAAAAAAAAACGAATGTATTTTGGAAATGAATTTTTCTGTAATTTTTTTCTGTAAATTTTTTAACTTATTTTATTAGAAAATCACACATTATTTCGTAACTTTGATTATCTGTTCAACAACACTTTAGAGAAAATGTAAGTATTTTAGATTTAAGTTTAAAATATTGAATATCAATGAAGTTATTGAAGACAAAATGTAAACGGAGGATCACCATTACCATCTTCTCCTCTACTAAATTGAGTGTGAACCGGCAATTTCTCTGAATGTCTTTTTCGCAAATTGGCGACAATTTCGAAATCTCTCTTTCTCTCTCTCTCTGCAACGTTCCGCGCGTATCAATGTTTTAGCCTTTTATTTATCTCTTCATTGAGCGCCGATCGAGAGAGCGACGCGGTAATTAAATTGAAAACGCGATATACTGGGGGAGTTTTACGCTCGTGGCCGTCGATTTATCGTTACCATTTTAATTTGCCCCGTCGTTGCTCTCTCCCGATGGCTCTCGCGCTCAAACTCTCCTTCACCGCGTTCCCGCCAAACCCTAATCGTCGTGGAGGCGGCACGCGGGACCGCTACTTTAAATGCAATTAATCTCTGCTTAGTCCATTTGATACAAATATTTCTCTCTCCTCCTTTTTTCTCTTTCTCTCTGTCTCTCTTTTTCATCGCGATATGTACACCGACCTCGTTAACACACGTTCATAAAAATGTTGCATCGCGCGACCGCCATAACGAATGCTATTGCCGTCGGGGAAAGAGAGTGTTGCCGCCATTGGTCGGTGCTATTTGCCCGGGTTACAAATCGACCGATCCTCAACAATCTCCGTTAGCTTCGCAGCACTTCATCCCCCGGAAACTCGTTTCCAACCTTCTTCTCCTCCTCCTCCTCCACCGGCTGCGTCTACCTCCCGAGTGAAATAACTTACTTACGGCGCAATTAATTCGTCCGTGTAATTACCGAACTAATAGCCCGTAAAATTAAGAACCCGTAATCCCCGGATGGAGCGGGGGCGCGGCGTTTACACGCGCGCTCGCCTCCTCGTTTCGTGTTTCTCGCGCGGGCGCGCGTGCAAGTGCTGCCGCGCGCACCACTTCCGCAATTGCAACGCGCGCGGCCTCTCGAGCCGCACTCGGTCCGGGACGCGCCGCGGACTCGAGTGCGTTACTCAGATTAGGGGACGGATTAATTAATTAATCGGCGCAATTTTATTTTTTAGCGGTAAAGAATTCTCGTGTCACAGAAAAATTGATTTTGCAAATTTCGAAATAATTGACAGTTAATCATTTACCTAACATCGATTATCATTGAATCGTCGCATTAGAGAGTGTAACCATTGAACTTTCTCTGTTGCAGTATTACGATTCGGTGTACACTATAAATCAGGAGATGATGAAGCAAGTAAGTAGCAACTGCAAAATATGCGCCACATTTTTTTTTCTTATTCTCTGTACATGCGCGTGTGTGATTTTATTGACATTTCATTTTGTTGTATATTTTTACGCAAGAAAATGTTGTTTATCTAATCGGGCATCACGTTCGAGGAATGACAAAGACCTCTCGAGAGATTCTCATGGAAAACAGTCGAGAATTTGTTGTTACGAAACGATTTTGCCATTATTCGTCCCGCGTATTTTGTACTCGCATCAGGAGACTATTCGTTTCCGACAAAAATAGATGAACGCTCTCTGTTAATAGCGGATAGTTTGATTGGAAATATGATATGTAATAAGCTTCGCTCGGTTTGCACGCGCGTGTAAGACACAACGTTGTTAACAAGTTACACACGGCTATCGCCTAATTTCGCGGTATTAGTTTGTTCGCGAGACGCGTTTTCGACGATGCAATCGCAAATCGCAACAAGACTCTGCACATATGAGCATGGTCATTACACCGTACGCAAATTTAATATAAATTACACGCGGAGAATCTCTTTTGTTTTTTTTGCAGACGGAAATAGCCAAGAGATTGAACACTATCATCACCCAAATACTGCCGTATCTCTCGGCGGAGCATCAGCAGCAAATAATCACCGCGGTTGAAAGGGCAAAGAACATTTCGATGCACGAACTGCACAATCTAACGGTAAATATTTTCAATATTTTTATTTAACATGTAACGGATATATATATATATATACACACACACACACATACGACGCACCTGCTAGTTATCGAATTTACCAACGCGAGAATGTAAACAGCGCGTTCTTTTAGTTCAATTACTTTTCCTCCGCTCTCTCTCTCTCTCGTTTCGGAGTCTGTGACTTCTGGTGTTGGATATTTTTCTCTATTTCGGAAGGGAGTTACGTGTTGGCGCGCGGCAAGTTTATACAAACGCAATCGCGCGTGCGCGCACACGGTTGAAACGCGAGATTGGCAGTCGCGTCGCGTATAATTGAGTTTCAAGTTGATTCTCGCGCGCATGACTCGAATAATTTTCTCAGCCTCGTCGTGCGGACGCCATCAATGTCGAAACGTATAAACGTGTGTGACCGCGCGGAAGTTTCGCTTCCTTTAAAACCGCCGCGAACAATTACGTCGCGCCCATTTATCGTGCCGCAAATATTTATTTTAAAATCGAAATACAAACTTCCTATACCGTACTTGTGTTTATTTTATACGCGAATATAAATTTTTTTCCAACAATTGTTGTTGCGACGCAATCGTATAATCGAGACCGTCTTTTTAAAACGATAAAATGAAATCCTCCGGGTGAAGTCATCGCGGCGCAAACCGCAATCTCGCCAATTTGTCATTACGCGATGCGTCACTGTTACCCAAAATATAATTAGCGCGCTAGTGTGTTACGGCTTTGTCGAGTGGGGTTCGTGACGAGAGAACGGACTCCGGGTTGTACGACGGGGAAAGTACCCGTGAGGGAAGCAGACGCGCAAAACGCGGCGCGGCGCGGCGCGGCGCCGGGGAAGGGATGCAAGCTGAAGGGACGATAAAGGCAAATAGACAGAAGCGCTAACCCTCATGAATATGTATTATTCGGTAAACAGAGGTTGAATCAATATTTCGTTTAATAACACTGCGCGAGGGAATGTATAGTCCTCTCTCGTCCCTACCCTCTTTTCCCTCCCTTCCCTATGCGCGTCATCCCCCTCTTTCCATCTTCCTCCGCTCGCTTTACCCGCGAGCGGAACACGTTGGTTTCGATCCTTTTCTCTCTTCCGCATCCGCCCTCGCTGCTCTTCCATCCCCCGACCGACACGTTGCGCGTATTATTTACGGCGCGTTACACCTCGTTCGGGACTATTACGTTTCGTTTCGCGCGTCGGAAACGAACGCCGCGATTTTCGATGTTCGTTGCGTCCACGCGCGGCGAAGGGTCGTGCGATTTTCCAATTTCACGATAGAAGATAACACGTAAAGCGCGCGGTTCTAACGCGCGTTCGCGAACGCGTTGGAGTAGCACAGTTTTTGCCGTCTCATTCGTATTGACGCAAAAAAAAAAAAAACCTTAGAAACATTTGTGTATGTGTGTGTTATTTTGTTTCCAAATAACCGTTCTGTGATTTGTTACATCACGTGACAAATTCTCGAAAGACTAAATCCGTTTAATCACACCCCCAGCGTAACCTCGTGAATTCGTGTCGAGTTCTTGCGAATAATAATTAGACGCGCAACGAAGTCGATATTTGCACATACAAACACGATTAATCAATTCTGTTCTTCTACACGCTGTGTAGAATGGCACACTTCTATTTTCTATGTTCCAGAATCATCGACCGCCTGATTTGCCGCGGCTTCTTCAGCAAATGCACGCTCAGCAGATGCCACCTGTGACGATGGCCGCTCATCCCGGTTTACCTGCGCTTTCGGGAGGATTGGGACCACCTCCTGGACTTCCGGCACCTACTCCAACGCCCGGACTGTTAGGTATCGGCCTGTCGTCCGGAGTAGCCGCCACGGTATCCTCCGCAACTACTCCCGCGCATTCCTTGTCGATGTTCAGCAAGCCGGATATCCATCGAAGTCAGTCGGACGATCATCTCAAGAGCAACGGTAAGTTGAGGTCTCTGTCCGCAGTAAGTGCTTTGACAAGCCGCGCGCACGCTGTGACCTGGAATCGGCACGAGATTGCCGAACAACGCGGAGAGAGTCCCTTTGAAATTTAAAACAAGTATCTCAATCGGAAAATAAAAAGTCGCTCTTCATATTAAAATTGTATATTAAAATTGTTAGAAACGCGACAATTAATAATTGAAAGTCGCCAGAAAAAAAATATTTTATACAAACGACGAGACACTCCCTCATTTTTCCACCGGATCGGAAAATGTTCAAAGCGTTTTATTACGGGTATCCGCTTTCGGCAAAGCGGAGCGGTGTTTGCGTCACCCTGTTAGCGGACGCTCCAGCGGTGGTTTTCACAGCGAAAAGCGCGCATAAATATGCATGAAGATCATTTATATGGGCGCCATTCGGGGTCCTTCCCCTTTCCGTCCCTCGTGTTCTGTCCCGCTACTGTCCGCCGTTTACAACGCACGGCGGCGCACGTTATCAACATTTTATCGGCGCTATATACGGTCGATCGTTTCTCGATCGATCTCACGCGTAATCCTTCGTATCTCACTCGCATGCTACGCGAGACGCACGCGGTAATGCAATATACTATAGATCGCATTAAATTCTAAAATTCAAATATTCATAGCATGTGTTTACGACGAGAAATTGACTTTTGCGCACGCGGTCTTAATAAAATGTACATGTAATATATAAAATGTATGTTTGTCTATTCAGAAAGATTATTCCGTTTGTTTTCAGGTCTGAGCTCATCGGACGAAAGACATGTAAGTAAGATTTTGTCTATTTTGTCTTATAAAAATTCCGATAAGATTCTGATAAGATTCTTATTTTTATCGTCGCAGACAGTCTACAATAACATTTCATCTTAACATTTCGCGATTACATCAGAGACGATTTAAACACGACAAATATATGTATTTAAATGTACAAACTACATGTACAGTTCACAACAGCACAATAAAAATATTCCCTGATTTTTCACGACATTCATGTAGATTCTCTGTGTTAATTTGTCATCGAAGAATTTTTTTATTTACGCGAGTAACGTGATGAGAGAGAGAGAGAGAGAGAGAGAGAGAGAGAGAGAGAGAGATAGAAAAGGAGGGATCTCCGAAGATGTATTATCACGAGACGAAGTCTCTCCTCGGATCTCGCGAAAAGTTAACGGAAAACGTTTACGAAGACTGTTTGCCGCCGCACTCCACATACAGACATGTATTTTGTTATATATCGGCGCGCACATAGGTGTGTATGTATGTACGTGGAAAGCGCGTACGGTGTTGTAGAATGTACACTCGACCGAGTGGGCACTTATCACGGCCTCGTGTATTACATGCGCATTACGCGCGTGTAACTTGACTCGCTTCGCGCGTCAAGAGTACAACGAGCGCCGCTTCACCGCGTACTCTCCGCTGTACAAGTGCGTACTGCATATTGCAATTTATACTTTCGACCGAACGCACCGCGCGGGTTTACACGAGAGAGAGAGAGAGAGAGAGGCGTTAAAGTGGCGAGACCGGCAAATAAAGAGGAGCGTCCACTTTTTCTTTTCAAGCTATCCGCGCATAATTAACATTCTCGTTTCTTTTTTTGTATGTGTTATACCGCGAGACTATTGAGAAAATAAATTCCGCGGCTGTTTTTTTTTTTTTTTTTCTTTCCTCGAAGAAAATTTGCCGCAAATGTGCAAGAGTCTCAATATAAAATGACGGTGTGTCACGTGCAAAGATTTGGAAGCTTATTCCCACTGGTGCCGCGCACACGTCTATACATATATCGATGTCTCAGCGAGTCTCGTATCGTGGAGGAAAAGGAATATATAGCGCGCGAGTCGAAGAGAAAACAAGAAAAGAAGACCGAGAGGAGGTATATCTTATATTACGGGTTTGCCCGAGTCTGTAATCATCGCGGGACCGCGAAACGCCCATCGACGCCCTCTCATTCCGCCTCTCGCCATTCTATTTTCTTCTCTCGTCTCGCGCGCCGTTCGCGCCGATCCCGGGGGTACTACTTTCTTGGGGCCCTCTTCCGCTCTCTCATAGCATCCTTTTCCTCCTCCTCCTCCTCCTCTTCTCTTTCTCTTCCCCTCCGGCGCCTTGTCACGTCACGCCGGTGTGCCCACTCTATAATCATTATCGGCTTTCGCGGGGCCCGACCCCGTTGTACATCATCCATCCCTTCCCCGTTTTCCTTCTTTCATCTATTTATCTTCTTCTCTTCGTTCATTTGTCCGCGCTCTGTTCTCTTCAATTCCATTATGCTCCATTACGAATTTACCGAATGACGAGGGTATGCGTGTCCAGGTCTTTGCTCCCTCCCTACCCCTCTTCTCGCGCAAAGAAATTTGCGGGAATTTATCGCCGGGAACGCACGCTAATCTTGGAGATTCGCCGCGCGCGAGTCTCGCGGGACGATCGAGGATCGTCGCGATTTTATCGCTTCGTTCCGCTCGCCAAATTGATATCTCATTGAGAGGCGCGTCGAGCGGATAAAAAAATCCGCGTGATAGCACGACTGAAAGTTTATACATTTTACGTTCTTTGTACGAGAGAGAGAGAGCGCGATGTGTTTCGAGAAGAAGAGGAGATGTAAAGTCGAAATCGATTATTGCGAGAACGCTCGCGTGACGATTGATAATAACCTGCGTCGACGCGGGTAATTACGGTTTTGTCACGTCCGTCGACGCCACCGGGAATATGTGGCTAATCCGTTGTTCCAGCCTGTACTTGCCGCGTGGTGTCTGTTGTTAAACGAGATTAACGAGATCCATGGGATTAACGGGGAGAAAGGGGGCTTGTACGCGCGCGCGCGCGTGCGTACATTCGTTCGATCGCCGCGTCTTCTATCGGTTTATCGTACACGAGCTTATTACACTCTGTGCGCATCGCAAACACGAAACAAGCATTTTCAAGGAGAAAAAAACCTACCCTTTGAACGATAAAATCGTCAATCCACTATCAGTATATACTAGTGACTATCTTGACACGTTATTCTCTTACACGTATACAGCAATTGTTGCAATGCCCCACCGCGCGTGTTTATGTACTAAACAAAAACGTCGTCGTTGTGCATTTTACAGAGACACTCGGTATCGCCAGCTGAAAAGTATAGCAGATCGCGCACACCGTCGGAATCTACCCACTTGTCCCATCAAACGCAAAGTCACCACCACACGCAAAGTCACCACCACACGCAAAGTCATCACCACGAGCCTTCCTTGAAGAAGATAAAGAAAGATCTCGATAAGGATGCTGGTCATGTAAGTGCATATCGGTATTACCGTATGCCGTAAAAAAAAAAAAAAAAGACAAAAAAAAATCATTACTCTTTTTGAGAGATGTAAAAATATACACTTAATCGCGCGCAATCGCGATGCTTCCTCCGCGCAGAGCGACGGCGAGAAGAGTGACCAGGATCTAGTCGTAGATGACGGAAGCGATAGTCCAGATAGTCCGATGGTAAACGGCACGACGTCGCCTCGGGAGAACGGCATCGACAAAGCCTCCTCGGTAGTGGTGCATCCATCTATGAGCGCCGGCAGCGTGCAAACGGCGATGAAAAAAGACATTACGTTGCCACAGCACTCGCCCCGAAGTGGCACGAGCAGCAACGCCAGCACGCCGTCGGCGAAGAAGATGGAAGACCGCGAAAAACCGACGACGCCAATCTCAAAGTCGGTTACGCCGACGGCAATGATGGGCGCGACAAAATCATCGACTTCCGGTAAGCTGCTCCAGGTGCCGCCGGTACCGTCTGCGATACCGCCAACATCTGTAGCGGCTTATCCGACCTCGTTGCATTATTCGCCCGGTCTGCCACCACCGCTGCCTCCGCATTTCTCATCTACTACTGCCGGGACTCATCCGTCAATCGACATGATGGTTTACAACGGTTATGTGCCTAGACCCGCAGCACTCTACGACCCGCACGCAGCTCTGAGACCTCCTGCCGCATCGTCGCTCGCACCTCCTACTAGTGACAAATCGTAAGTACAAAATCGAATTCCCATCTTTGGAATTTGCATCAATTTCTTGATCTCGCTCGATGTCAGTTTCTCAAAATTATTCGATTTTCCTATATGATACTCGATAATAATAGTTTTTAAGCGAGTATATTGAATTTATTTCGAGCTCAAAAAATGTAACAGGTTTAGAAGATGGTGGTAGGATTCGAAAAAAAAAGTAAGTTTATGACGGAACGCCCGAAAACACTGGTACTTTACAGACAATATAGCTATTATTGGCCGCCGGAAGGACAGGTGCAACCAACGTCGTTTCCTCCTGACGCTCTTAGTGCTCCTGGTATACCACGTAATGTGCGTTCAGTTACGTCTTTTAATCAGGGCGAGGTAGTTTGTGCGGTGACGATCTCGAATCCGACCAAGTTTGTGTACACGGGCGGCAGAGGATGTGTCAAAGTGTGGGACATCACTCAAATTAATAATAATAGTAACGTCAAACCACTCACGCAACTTGACTGTTTCCCGTACGAAAATTATATCAGGTCAGTAATAAGAAGTGTCTTAATCGAAAGATTTGTGTGAAGTGCTTGCGACTGATTGCTAAGAGCTTTTGTCTCGCATTTCTCTGCGCGCAGATCGGTGAAATTGCTTTCGGACGGAAGGACGTTGATAGTCGGGGGGGAAAACTCGCAACTGTGCATTTGGGATCTGACCAGTCCGAATCCGAGAATCAAGGCCGAGTTATCGTCCTCGGCACCGGCGTGTTACGCACTGGCAATATCGCCGGACTCGAAGGTCTGCTTCAGCTGTTGCAGCGACGGAAATATCGCAGTGTGGGATCTTCATAATCAGACACTGATCAGACAGTTCCAGGGCCATACTGACGGCGCTTCGTGCATCGACATCACCCTCGACGGCATCAAACTCTATACAGGTGGTTTGGACAACACCGTGCGCTTGTGGGATCTTCGCGAGGGCAGACAGCTACAACAGCACAACTTCTCTTCGCAAATATTCTCTCTCGGCTATTGCCCCGCGGGCGATTGGCTGGCAGTTGGAATGGAAAACTCCCATATCGAGGTGTTACACACTACGAGGCAAGAGAAGTATCAGCTGATGCTGCACGAATCCTGCGTTCTAGCGTTGAAATTTTCTAGTTGCGGCAAGTGGTTTATCACTACGGGAAAGGATCACTTATTAAACACATGGCGCAATCCTTACGGAGCGTTAATATTTCAGGTTAGTGCACTTTTTGTTTATTATTCTTTGGTCTCGCTTCTCTACTTTATGTTCTTTGTTGTTGCTGTCGATTAGCGCAAATAAAACAGTACGCAGGGACTAAAATTAAACTATTCGCAAGAAAAATAAAAATTCGACCAACAAGGATCGGGTATAAACGCGCGATCAATGTTAAAGTGCATATTAAGTTCGAATATCTATCACGGAATTGAAGTGAAATCACACATTGCAAAAAAAAAAAAAAAAAAAAAAAAAAAAAAAAAAAAAAAAAAAAAAAAAAAAAAAAAAAAAAAAAAAAATTCCGTTGCTCAAGAGCCTTTTACTTTAAAGTATTTCAATTTAACCGGACTACGAGAGTTAAGTGGAAAATGCATTTTAGAATTGTTAAGAGAAATAAAATCTAGAGGCGCAATAATTTTCAACATTTACATTTCTTAGTGATCCCGTGTTTATTACATGTTCAGCGTGCGCGCATTAAAATTATCTTCATATCTTTCACACGCGGAGAATTAAGTACGATGTTACGCGCGAAACAAGGCGACGGAGCTCGCCGAGAGAAGAGAGCGGGGCAGGAGAAAACGATCGCGAAACAGCTCATTAAGGAACTATATAATTATGAGCGATATGAACGAGGAGAGTTCCGATCGAGTCATGAGTTCGATAAGCAAAAAAAAAAAAAAAAAAAAAGATCGAATTGTAAAAACTTATAAATAATCGCCAACCTTGCGCTGAGTGCGCGATTTCGTTATCAAGCGGAATTTTATATATATATATATATATATATACAATATATATATAAAACGTACATGTACACGCACACGAAGAGCAGCGGAACAATAATAGATATCTACACGCTCGTAAATGTGTTTATGTTTTCGACGTTTCACAAAACGAGTCTTGACGCTCTCTCAATTTTTATAACGTGCGTCCTATCTCGCGTATTTCTTCTCTTTTTTTTTTTTTTTTTTTTGTATTTTCTTCTCTTTCCCCTCTCTCTTCCTGTCTTGCTCAAGAGTCTTCGATCTTTTCACGTGCAAGCAACGCGTCGTGTAAACCGTTATCGTCGCGCCGCTCACTCAACTACGTGTTTGTCAATTATATTTACAGTCGAAAGAAGAGTCTTCGGTGCTTAGCTGCGATATATCTACGGACGACAAGTACATCATCACCGGCGGTGGCGACAAGAAGGCCACGGTCTACGAGGTCTTGTACTGAGTGGGTTTATACCCGTTATCACAACTAACTATTGCAGGCATAAGTACGCGGCAAGAGAGAGAGAGAGAGAGAAAGAACAGCCCTGCGTGACGTCGAGAATCGCTGTTGTTGTCATTTATTTTGTTATCATTGTGTTGTTAGTCGGTCCCTTGAGAAAAAGGCCGATGCCAAATGGACACGAAAGATCTCACCCAATAGGTTTCAATAGCACTTGTGTAGTCGAACTTCGCTTCAAAGTGAACATGCCACACAGAAGTGAAGTGACGAAAGTGAAAGAATCTCTTTCGATAGAATTTGCTTTCCCTCTCGTGCTTGCATCCCGCCATTTTTCCCGGACAGCACAAAAAGTGGTCTGAAACATGTGGCTACAAAAATAAAAATATCTTTTGGGCATCTCGAGATTTTCAGACTTTTTCTTCACAGTCGCACACATGCGCGGAAAGAAAATAATCTTGCAAAAAATAATCTTATTCTCAATGACGCTGGATTGTGTGAGAATCGGAAAAAGAAATTTTATAGTATTTCATATACTGATCATTTCTCCCCAGAAATTTCACTTCTTAGCGAGGTTCGACTGTGTATTGCGCTTTTGAGCTACACTACATCGTTCCTGAGTGTTGGTCCTTGCTTTCTAAAAGTAGATGAATAAGAAAACGTAAAGTATAGTGAAAAAAAAAAAAAAAAAAAAACATTAAGCGTGAACGTTAAAGCTATGGTGCTATGAATCCGAGCGCTTTATTTAGCGAAACGAACACTGAATTTATCAAATCGGCTAATCAAATGTTCGCATTCATTGTTTGCCGTTTTCAGTTACGCTTGTCAAGTGAGTACTCGGTCTGAAGTGCGGAATTGCGCGCGCTGGTACTAAATTTTAGAAAATGAAACTTTTTTTTAGAAACTTCGCCGATTTACTTTGCGTAACTCCGAATCGCAAATGTACGAGACAAGTTGGCGAACGTAATTGCGGATAGAGCATTTTTTTGACAATCGCTTAATGCGACGCGATAGGAGCGAAGAGATATTGAACTTCACCTTTAGATAGAAAGAGTCTTGTTATTCTGCAACTTCACTGTAATTACACTTTCACTTGTAAATTTTGTAAATAGTGAGTTTTGAAATAAATAAATATTTTTCTACCTTCAGAATGAGAGAGAGAGAGAGAGAGAGAGATAAAAAGCGTATATACGTGACACTGTAAATACATTTCGAGATTAAGAAATTTATACGAGAAGAAGAGGAGGATGAAGAAGAAATTATTGATCAATAAATAAACATGTGATAACAAGAGTGTGCATTTTTTTTTTATCTGATTTCCATCGCAATCTTCCTTTGCTCTCCTTCGACTTCTTTGCTTGTTCTTGCACAACCTTAAAACAGGCCTCCTTTCGTTTTCTCTCTCAACGAGACAATTACTGTAATTCGACATGGGACTACTCGGTGGGAAACGTGACAATTTAACAGCGCAGAGGGACGGGCGGCGGGGAGAGAGGGGGAGCAGCGAGATGATCTGTCGTTTCGTTAAAAAACAAAATGACTAGTGGCCGGCACACCGATAAAAATCGGGGATGCGCATACAGCGGGCAGGTGTCGGCGGAAATAAAAAACAAGGACCACTCGTTACTCCATCCACGTGAATGTTGTTAGCCGCCAAAAAAGAGGCATCAACAATATTTAGTTGCATGCCGGCGCAGCGGGCGGCGGGCGAATCGTCATGAAAATTACGACACGGTTTCGTCGATAAAAAACATAAAACGAAAAAAAAAAAAAAAAAAAAAGCGGTCACCGTTCGCACTCGCGCGTGGGTAGCGGTGCTGACGGTTTCGCCGATTGTCATGAAAACAAATCGGGGACGAGCTCGCGACCTCGCATTCCCACGAGTGTAGGTGGAAAAACAAAAAAAAAAAATTCAGAGTAAGAGAAGAAAAATACGCGCGCGCGGACAGGTCGAGGAGAGGGGGAGGGAGAAGGGGAGCCAATTGTATTTGTATAATCTTTGCGTCGACGGGTCCGGTATAAATCCGTGCGCATCGCGCCACCCGGTGTATAATTAGTGAGGCCATGCATGCGCGTTCAATGGAAGGTTCATCGGCGTAATGTTATTATAATAGTGGCGCGTTTTGCATATGTGACCAGCGAGGAAAAGAGGGAAGGGTCGTTCGTGGAACGCTCGGGAGGGAGGGGAGAAGGAGAGGGTTGCTGCACGGAGGCGGAATAAAGTCGGAAAGAGTGAGGTGGCGATGACGCGAGAGAGGGTGAGAGAGAGTGGTTTTACGTGGGTTTTGCCGGGCGTATATTTGCATGGTAATGATATGCGGCGCGAGGGGATGACGTGAACGAGCGAGCGAAAGAGAGAGAGAGAGAGAGAAACACGACATGGAAGCGGTGTGACGACGGGAATCGCGGCGGCGACGACTATTGGGGCCGCGAGATTTGTATATCGCGGCTAAATGCGTCGGTTATTACGGTTAATTCGACGACGCGACGCGCAGGATACGCGCGAAGCGTATTACCGCAGTTTATTCGCGCCGGATTATTCGCGTGCGTAAACTTAGCGCGTGTTGCGCGCGACAGCTTATAAAATATAATACTCGTAACAATATTGATTGATTGATTGATTGATTTTGCTTTATTATTACGCTCTGGGATAAGATCCCCTCAAGCGTTAAGAACTTTTACAAAATTTAAAAAAAAACAAATAAAATTTATAAAAACAAAACAAAAAGAGAAAATATAACAAAAAGAGAAAATATAAAATATAAGAAGAAAAAGAAGAAGTGAATATGAAATAATAACATAAAATCAACATAAAATTTTAAACATTGGCAGCTAACAAATATTCAAAAAATTTTCTTTTGAAAGTATAAAGGCGTTCATTGCGTATGTCAACTGGAATTTCGTTCCACGTATCAATAGAGTTACAGATAAATGATCGCCTGAAAAAATCTGTACGACATAACGGCAAGATAAGAGTGCCACTAACAGCTCTAGTGCCATAACTAGATTGTGTATCTCTAAAAGAGTACCTCCCATACAAGATCCGAGGTCTTTCAGTTTCAAAAATTTTAAAAAGAAGATTGCCTATAAAATATTTTCTTCTTGTCTTTAACTTGAGCCATTGTAATTTTTGATAATAAGGCGTTATATGCTCAAACCATTTAATGTCGTAGATAAATCTAACGCAATTATTAAAGGCTCTTTGAAGTCGTAGATTGTCAGCTTCCGTTAAATCAGTCAATAAGACACTGCAGTAATCGAAGATTGGAAATATTAAAGCAGTTACCAATCTGATCCGTACACAAGACGAAAAAAGGTTTTTAAAAGTCTTCAACCGATAGAGCGCAGCATTAGCGCGCGAGATTATGCCAGTAACATGAGCATCCCAGGATAGTGTATTTATATTATATAGCGGCGAAGAGATAATTTAATCACGCGTAATTTCTATTAGTTAATAAATGCGCGCGCGAAGGTTTTAGGTTATTCCTCGTGTTACAACAACTCTTGTCGCAGCTTCCGCTTTAAGAAAATCCCAATTTATTATGTATATCTCCAAAGGTAGGATATGATTATTTGGGGAGCGCCCGCTCAACGCGGCGCGCGGCGATCCAACAGTTGGTGGCATTCATACACAAAGAGCTAATTTTCCCTCTGTCCGTCGCGTCAACGGCGGCAACTCTCTGCTGCGGCACGGCACGACGTGGCGCGCACACAACGCGGTAAATTAACAGGCACGCAAATGAGCGAGTTCACGCGCTCGCTTTCGTGTGCTTGCCCTCCCACACGTCTCTCTTCGTCACAATTGGACACTAATAAACGCGCCAACGCATCTCATTCTCTTTCTCTTTCTCTCGCGCACTCTCTCTCATTCTATCACTGCGCCCGAGCGCGTTCGGTCCACCTGTCATCCCTCGCGCGGCGCGAAACATCGTGCGAACGTCACGTTCCGTTAAAAAAAAAAAAAAAAAATTTTTAAAAGCGGCGGAAACGTCTCGTCAAATAAGACGTTCGTTAGATCTGGGGAATTCAAATTTTTCAGTTCGTCATTGCGGGAACTCGTGCCGCGATCGCGCTATTACATCGCTCGAATTAGCGCGCAACATTGCGGACTACCTGTCGTCGTACATGCACGGAGCGCTCGGAGGTGGAAAGGACGATGAGAGGGTGTGGAAGAAGGACGAAAAGGGAGCGGAGAAGAGCGAGAGCGGCGGTGGTGATGGTGGTGGTGGTGGTGGCGGTGGTGGTGGTGGCAGCGGCGGCGGCGATAGCGGTTATCCAGATAGCAGATAGCTAGGACGGTGGTCTCGTTTGCGGCTTGACCACCCTTGCGGCGCACTGCCCTAACCGCCCCTAACCACCGTACCGCAGCCACATGGTGTGTGCAACCGGCGATAACGTCGTCCTCACGCACAAGCCGATGCGTGTCGTTGCAGCCACGCTTTCGAGAGAACGATTTGCCCTTCCATTTTCCCGTCGTTTATTCGTTCGTTGTTTATCCCGATGGAAAATACTGTACGATCCAGCAAAGCAATCTTCCGTTCATGACAGTTCTGGTCAAATGTTCGGTTGAGCTTAAACGACAGGTTTACCTACTATTCTTTAGACCCCCAAAGTCTCTCAATTTTTTTTTTTCCAAAAACCGAAACACTTTGTAAAAGTGAAATTTAAAACGGAGTTTTAAAATTCTGCATCCGGTGCGGCGTCACGCGTGACGAGAGTCTTTCAAGATCGTTTTTCTTTATTTTTTGTTGACATTAAAATGCCCGATATTTTGACCGGACAAATCTTTTCGTTGTTCCGCCATTTCTCTTTCTCACGGTTTGTGATTCAATGTTGCAAAGAAACAAACAAAACTCGCGAAAAGTAAATTCGCGAGAAATCCGAAGTAGTGACGGTGAGATGACTTCAAAAGAAATTCATTTAATTTTATCGGGCATTCTAGCGTTAAGGAGAAACAGTTAAGACTTCCGCGAGAACTGGTACACCGCGATCTACAATTGATACCGCCGTGTATTAACTGAGTACGAAAAACATCATTTTTTTTCTCGCACCCACTTAATCCGCTGGTTATTGTCCATCTGGAGCCAGCATTGAAAGGTCGATGGCGCATTAGTGATAATGAGAGAGCGTTATTATCCGTCAGAAAACCGTTAGTCTCCCGCGGTGTATATCGTTGTTTAACTCGTCCGAGGATTGTAAACCTGTCGATGAGGGAAAGAGAAAGAAAGTGTGTTTCTATCTCTCTTTCGTCAAGAGTACAACAAGAAAACACGGTTCTCTGCTACCTGTGTTCGCGCTCGAGAAACACATTTCCCAAAAAACTTTCTCGATTCTCTTAATCGCTTGTAACTCCGAGAAAAGAGAGATCATCGATGTTTTCGTAGGAGGGAAAAAATACAACCTTTACAAATCGGTCGAGAAGACGCGACTCGGCAGGTAAAAGGACGTCTTTTAAGGTAGCTTTCGGAATATCGCGTATATCTTGGCCGGGAACATATAAAGTCGGATTATCCCGGTTCGGCTCTCGAACGAAGAGAAGAGCGCGAACTTTCCGAAAGGATTATCCTCGTGCGACGACCGGCAAAAGTAACGGTCTGTTTGTACAGACCGGCAAAATATTACGAGCGCGCGATTGAGACTCTCTCTCTCTCTCTTTCTCTTTCAACCCTACGGGACTGGCTTTAACGATCACTTC